TTTCTGAAGTAAACCCCACCTGTGAGGACCTTGCTGAGTCATATAACGGATATCTTGTTGGACTTACTTCGCATTTTAAACCCTTGTTAGAATGTACCGATGACCAGGAGACAGAAGTTCCCAACCATCTACTCGTAAATGTAGGGCAAGTTTATTCAGTGTTGCGACGTCTTAAAACGACGAAGTCTCCTGGCCCAGACGGTATCCCAAATAGGATCCTGAAAACCTTCGCTTTTGAATTTGCCCCTATCATAATGGACATATACAATACATCAGTGCTCCAGGGAGTCTTCCCTGATCAGCTAAAACGTTCTATCGTCGTTCCCATTCCAAAAGTGTCACCACCTCAGACTATTGAGGACGATTTAAGACCTATATCACTCACAGCTCAGGTATCTAAAGTGATGGAAGGATTTATGCTACAGTCCCTCATGTTGGAAGTGGGTCTTAAATTGGACCCAAAGCAATTTGCTCTTCCGGGAAAGTCAACCACTCAGGCACTCGTTTATCTCCTACACTTGATTCATGCTGCTTTAGATCAAGGCCACTGCTCTGTAAGAATCTTTTTTGCTGATTTCAAAAAAGGTTTTGATCTCGTCGACCATAATGTCATTATTGGTGAACTTTTAAAATTACAAGTGAGTCCTGCCATTATAAGATGGATAAAGTCGTTCCTTACCTCCCGCGAACAGTGTGTTAAAATCGGACCATCCTTTTCCTCATGGAAACCCGTTAACGGTGGCCTACCTCAAGGAACTAAACTTGGCCCTCTTCTCTTTGCCATTTTGGTCAATTCCCTCCTGCAGGACTGGAATGGGCGGATAAAGTTTGTAGACGATGCTACTGCACTAGAAATTGTTCCACGTTGCTCTCCTAGCTTGCTACCTATTCTCGTAAATGATGTATCTCAGTATGCCTCAAGTAGAGGAATGAAGCTTAACAGTAAGAAATGCAAGGAGATGACAATATTCTTCCTCCAATACCACCTTCCACTTGATAATGCGATCTATATAGATGGTTCGCCGGTGCAATCAGTATCCTCCTTTAAACTGCTCGGTGTGCTACTGAGAGAGGATCTATCTTGGTGTGATCATGTCGACTATGTGATTAAAAAAGCAAATTCCAGACTCTATGCATTGCGGAAGTTAAAAAAGGCTGGGTTAAGCGATAAAGACCTTGTCACTATATATTCCTCCTTCGTTCGGTCCCGAATTGAGTACGCTTCACCTGCGTGGTCAACGCTAACCCAAGGCCAGTCTGACCTTATCGAATCGATACAGAGAAGAGCATTACGTATCTTGCTTCCCGAAATGTCGTATCAAGACGCATTGAATTATACTGGTCTAAGAAAGTTAAGTACGCGTAGACATAATTCCTGTGAACAATTTATTCGGAAATTGAAGCTTGACAATGGTCCTATAAATCCTCTTAAGGATGTTGTTGCAACTCGTATACATCCAAATACTCATAATTATAATCTTAGGTCCGAATCAAGCTGGTCACTCCAAACGAACACAGAACGGTTTCAAAATTTTATAACTGTCAAATATAATTATTAATGTATTATTGATTTAGTAGTACTCGTGTATATTAATTCAGGGACCCAATTATAATTTGTGGACAGATTTAAACTGACTATTCAGAACGAACATTGAATGGTTTGAACTCAATTTTATCTGTAAATTTAATTTTTAATGTATTTACTTATAATCATGTAATTCAGTAGAGACTGCAATGTGATTAATTAAACAGATTATTATTATTATTATTATGCGAAACCCGAGCTGGCGACAAGAAATTAGTGTAAAGAAGACTGAGATCGAGACCCAAGATCGCAGAGTCGGACACGATCCCCCACCTCGTAACCCTACGAACTGGTGCATTGTCCGCCACAAAGGGCACCCATTAAGCAAGTGTAGAGCTTTCCAAGCCAAGCCACTCGATTAAAGAACCACAATACTAAGAAAGAACAGAGTATGCTTTCGCTGTATCGCATCGTGCGATCACCTTGCGAAGGACTGCAAGGCCAAGGTCGTGTGCACCGAATGTGGGAGCAATAAACACCTCGCCGCCCTACACGTTGACGGTGAGCAAAGGCACGGCGGGGAGCAGGCAGCAAATGAAACCAATCCGATGATGGCGCTAACCCTCGACAAAACCAGCACGCGGAAGAGATTACAACCAAATGCACCGAAATATGTGGGAATTCCCCCGGTGGGAAATCATGTTCAAAAATCTGCCTAGCCAACATATACGTCACCGGACATCCAGAAACCAAAGTGAAAGCGTACGTGCTAATCGATGATCAGAGTAACAGTTCTCTAGCACAATCCGAACTGCTCGATCGCCTAAACGTTCACGGTCAAGCAACCTCGTATTCGCTTAGAACATGCGCCGGAACAACTCAGATTCGAGGAAGATGCAGCAAAGATCTTGTCATAGAGTCCGTGGACGGTAACAAAAATCATCAGCTGTACCAATAATCAATACCCTCGCCAGAGGTAGCCCGAGCTCACCCACATCTACACGAAATTGTTGACAAAATACCAGAGATCCGTGGCGACGTAGACATCCTACTGCTCATCGGTCGGAACGCACCTCCACTTCAAAAGGTTCACGAATCCCGTAACGGACCTAGAAACGCCCCTTGGGCCCAGCGTCTTGATCTAGGATGGGTCATTATCGGCAACGCTTGCCTGGACGGAGCTCACACACCGAAGCCTTCCTGCTACAAAACAAACGTTCTCAAAAGCGGCCGACCATCAATCTTTTCACCCTGCCCTAATCGTTTCCACATCAAAGAATACACATCCACCGTTCCTGCCGTCCCCTGCGACGAAAACAACGATCAAAGGAAAGAGACATTCGAAAACGGAAACTTTGACGATGGCCTAACAGCCAAAGTGTACGCAAGTTCGAAGGACGACAACAAACCTGGTCCCTCCGTGGAAGACAGGAGATTTGTCAACATAATGGAACATCAAATGGTCAAAAACGAAGCAGGGAACTGGGAGGCGCCACTTCAGAGACTACCAGACAACCGCGAAGACACTCGTACACGTTTTAACTCCACAAGGCGGACTCTCGAAAGGAAACCGGAAATGAAAAAACACTATTTTGAGTTTATGCAAAAGCTCTTCGACAACAGTCACGCAGAGCCCGTTCCCGTGAGTGACGTAGCTTCAAAACAACCACGGTGGTACCTTCCCCACTTCACCGTCTACCACCCCCGAAAGTCTGATAAAATACGGGTAGTCTTCGATTCAGCAGCCGAAACCAACGGAGTGTCACTAAATAAGCTACTTCTCTCTGGCCCAGACCTGACGAACAGTCTCGTAGGTATTCTCTTGCGTTTTCGCTGCAACACCATCGCACTCATGACGGACATCGAGCAAATGTTCCACTCCTTTATGGTTCGTCAAGACCATCGAGATTATCTTCGCTTTTTCTGGCATAAAGACAACAACCCCGAAGAAGAAATCGAATACCGTATGAAGGTGCACCTGTTCGGTAACACTTCCTCGCCAGCTATCGCAACATGCGCTCTCAGAAAGACAGCTCTCGTAGGAGAACCCGAGTACGGACCGGACGCAAGAGAGTTTGTAGAGAAAGACTTCTACGTAGACGACGGCCTAAAGTCCGTTCCCGACCGCAAGAGAGCGATCGACCTGTTACATAGAACCAAATCCATGTTAGCCGACGCCAATCTGCGCCTCCACAAAATCGCGTCCAACGACCCTGCGGTAACACAGGCTTTTCCCGTCGAAGACCGAGCTTCCGATCTACGCAATCTGGACTTTCACCGCGACGTAGTACCGATTCAGCGCTCGCTGGGTGTACTTTGGGACCTACAGGCAGACGCCTTTACCTTCCAGGTCGTCGACGGAGCCAAACCCTTTACTAGACGTGGCGTTCTCTCCGTCACCAACAGCCTTTACGATCCCCTCGGAATCGCTGCCCCGGTCGTCATCAAAGCCAAAATCCTGCTGCGAGCTATGACAACGAGCCTGAAACGCCACCCACTCGACGACTGGGACCAACCGCTACCTGAGCAACATAAAGCATCCTGGGAAGCTTGGTGCAAATCCCTCTCAGACCTAACCGAAGTTAAAGTCCCACGTACCTACGCAAGCGTGTCACTGTCCGAAGCAAGCTGTATAGAAATCCACACATTTTGCGACGCCTCCACCGAAGCCATTGCTGCTGTCTCATACATCAAAGTCGTCCCGAAAGACGGTCAAGCCCAAGTATCATTCGTGTTTGGCAAAGCTAAGCTGGTTCCACCCCATGCCACAACAATCCCCCGTTTAGAGCTCTGTGCTGCAGTGCTCGGCGTAGAAATTACGGAGCTGGTGATCGAAGAGTTAGCAGTAAAACCACACTCTGTAACCTATTACACGGACAGTAAAGTTACACTAGGATACATTCTTAACGAAACGCGCCGGTTCTATGTGTACGTCAGCAACCGCGTACAAAGAATACGAAGGTCGTCGTCGCCAGATCAGTGGAGATACGTGGCAACTGACCTCAACCCAGCAGATCTAGCTACTCGATCGGTGAAAGCCTGCGACCTCAAAGACTCGTCTTGGTTGGCCGGCCCGAAGTTCCTCCAAAGCACAAGTTCCCTCGACGTTCCAACGGAGACCGAGGCCTTCCAACCCCCACAAGAAGACCCAGAACTTCGTCCCGAAATCACAACCCTCGCCACGAACGAAAAGCCCGGAGTTCAGAAAAACCTTGGAACTGATCGCTTCCTACGTTTCTCGCGGTGGGAAAACTTAGTGAACGCAGTATCGAAACTAATGATGGTCGCTCAGCATCACCACCATGCCAAAGCGTCAGTCGGCAACGAAACTACGGTAATTCAGGCACGAAAACGCGCACAGTTGTTGATCGTAAGGAACATACAGATCGAAGCGTTTGAGGAAGAATTCGATTCCTTAGAAAAGAAAAAGGGACTGTCAAAAACATCACCACTGTTAAAACTCAACCCAATAATCGACTCCGACGGTCTCCTACGCATTGGTGGTCGTCTTAAACGAGCTGACCTTCCGTACGAAGAACGACACCCCCTCATTCTACCCGGGAAACACCACGTGACAAGTCTAATCGTTAAGAACTGCCACGAAGAAGCGAAACACCAGGGTCGTCATTTCACCCACGGCATGGCCAGATCAAAAGGATTCTGGATCGTCGGCGGAAAACGCCTCGTCAATCGCGTTATCCATCAGTGTCTGAAATGTAAGAAACTCCGAGGGAAGCTTCATCACCAGAAGATGGCAGACCTCCCATCAGAACGCATCACTCCATCACTTCCTTTTACCTACGTCGGACTGGACGTTTTCGGTCCATGGGAAGTCACAGCTCGTCGCACCAGAGGAGGACACGCTTACAGTAAACGATGGGCAGTAATCTTTACTTGCCTTTCAACGAGAGCTATTCATATCGAATTAATCGAGAGTATGGACGCTTCTAGTTTCATAAATGCACTTCGAAGATTCATGGCTATCAGAGGGCCCGTTCAACAGATTCGCTCGGACTGCGGAACGAATTTCAAAGGAGCTCAGAACGAACTAGAATCGGCTCTAAAGGAAACGGATCAAAAGATCGTGGAGACGTACTTGAATTCTCAAGAATGCGAATGGATTTTCAACTCTCCTCACGCTTCGCATACAGGAGGCGTGTGGGAACGTATGATCGGTATTTCTAGACGAATTCTGGACTCGATGATGGCCGAGCTAAGACCAACACGACTGACTCACGAAGTCCTATCAACACTGATGGCCGAGGTGACAGCTATCGTAAACAACAGACCGCTAGTAGCCATCTCAAGCGACCCCTCTGCACCCGAAATTCTCACACCATCTACTCTCCTGACGCAAAAAACGGCAACACTCAAGTCAACCCCAGGAAATTTCGTACCCCAAGACCTCTATACCAAACAGTGGCGGCAAGTACAACTATTAGCCAACCGTTTCTGGTCCAGATGGAGAAAAGAATTCCTGCCGACATTACAATACAGGCGAAAGTGGACAACAGACGTTCCAAATCTCCAAGTGGGAGATCTGGTCCTCCTCCGATGCAAAGAATCGGCGAGAAACGATTGGCCGCTAGCTCGCGTCTCGAAGACCCTAAGCAGCGCGGATGAAAAAGTTCGAAAGGTAGAAGTTACGACAGCGAAGAACGGCTCAAAGCAAGTGTACACCAGACCAGTGACAGAACTGATCCTGCTAAAAACTGAATACGAATTAAATTCGTGTTCGTGACTCAATAATAACACTTTAGAACGTTAAACGTAGTGGTATTTTCATACCAGACGGGGAGTGTTCTGGCCACTATGGCCCCTAGATACTTTCTAGATAGACTTTAATATTATTCACTCGTTTTCGCGGTATTTTTCCGTAATCGCATCTCATTATTAGCGAGCCAGGGGGTATTTTTACCGGTTTTTCTCTGGCTCGGTTCTCACGCCTGAGTGAGCATTCTTTTTTTACAAAAAGCGAATAAAAGCATCGTTTAAACTTATTCGTCTGTTATACTACTGTTGAAGGGGACAAGGCCTTTCCCGAAGGAACAGAATATATGCTTTATATAAACAGGCTTACAATGACTTTCAAGATATTTTAGTCAGAATTGAATTATTGCAAAATTTAAGCACAAACAATATCATAACATCACCGTTATAGTCTAGCGCGCGTGTTTTATAGTGACAGCTAAATTCCAGGATAAATTGTTATTTTTCAAACTTTAAAAGTTATTCACGACACATATTTCTGTAGTGATGGTTTGTATTGTGCTTTAGTTTGTATATTTAAGTTATCTAACTCATTTTTGTTCAGTTTTGGTATTAAATACGGTTTAAAATGTCTTTTGACAGTTTGAATACGTTTGCTATTTTTAGCAGTTTTTGTGACATAAAACTGACATTTGAAGTAAGTATTTTTCAGGGAGGTCGCGTAATTTTGAAAATGGGTGTAACAAGCCGATGTGCTTTGTTAGAGAGATGCAGATCCTCTGTTTTTCTTCGTTTGGAGTTTTTTTTGGGGGGTGATGCTCTTTGTCTGATTTGGATCAATCTGATGAGGTGGTGAACTAAAAAACTCTACGGAGATACACGCAACAAAACATGACAGTTATGCCAACAATAGTTGCACGTTTTACACTGCTGTTGGTCTATATGCACACTTCAAGTTTTTTCCTTTCTAACGAATAGTAACGATAAACGTCACGATATAAACATAAAAAACGCGCGAAAATGTTTTCCTTTTATTGTTGGCCGGAAATGGCTGTAAACGAAATAAATAATTACAATAGAACGACTGCATTAAACGTAATTGAAATATAGCGTGAAAACGAGGCTTTAAAGCGTGAAAACGAGACTGGAGGGCACGTTTACCTTCTGAATATAATTAAATGTTCACCTCAGTGCCCAAAACTTGACAAGGGTGCCCAGATTGACCAAATTCTCCATTACTTTTCGCTTCAATCGAGCAGATATCGGTTTTGCACCAAAACGAGGCTTTAAAAGCGAAAACGAGGCTGAAGGCCCCGCCCAAAGCCTGTATACCATCGATTTTCGAACTCAGCGCCCTCAAATTGACCAAATCCACGTAGTGTCATAAATTTCCCCGTCGGGGGACCATTAAGGCCAGGATGAATTCGAAACATTTGACAGCTGCAATTAGATTCAAAGCTTTAACCCTTGTCTTGGCATCTTCTCAGGGCCCGCGGAGCG